CCTCGCCTAGCCCGCCCCGCCCACCTCGCCTCTTAGCAAAGCTCAACTCTCGCGATTAAACCGGAAGTTCGAGAAGAGAAACGCCTCTACCTCCACGCCGGGGCAACTGAACGTAGTATACTTTGACCCCGTAGGTCCCGGCTGCGCAGTCGCAGCTCAGAACCGCTGCTCTCCCGTACCATAACCCAACCCCGGAAATCACGCACTGATCTTCGGGGGTCCAAGCCGGAAGTTGACTAGAGAGTCGGCTGTTTCCGTGCTCTCTAGGACCCAGTGCCATCGAGGCGGCCATCTTGTGTAAGGTTAATCTGTGAAGTGCGAGAAAAGGACAAAAAAGGGGAGAAAAGGAAGCCTGTTTATGCTAAGACGGGACAGAATGAGAACGTTAAGTGTGCCGGGTCCTGAAGGGAACAGTTTTATTTTCAGTGACTGTTGGCGCTCTGGAGACGTCATGATTTAGCCTGTACGACGTGGTGACGTCATCATGGATTGCGGGAGGAGGTGGGGTTGCGTTGGCCATGTGACCGGACCCAGTAGCCCCGCGGGGAAGTAAGCGTGCTAATATAGCGGGTACCTCTATGTGTCACCGCATTTCGGGTTCCGGTTTCCCCTCGTAGACTGTTGAAGGACTTCCCTAGTACCTTCACCGACCATTCTGCGAGTCTCTGGTTGTCACCCAGGTTTGGATTCGGTTTAAGTGAGTCTATTCGCCAAAGAAAATGTGGGCTGAGCTTTCCTGGGGCTGCCTTCTGCTCCTGTTCTGGCTCCCGCAATCCCGCTATGTAAGGCCCTTGAGAACCCCCCGTTTTCAGACTTTTAGCCTCTGGCGGACTGAAAATGTCTTCAGCCCCGTTGTGAGCATAAACAGTAACCCCAGGGAAGTCAAATAGCCCACACTCAGCTTAATATATCGCCTGAGGTAGCGATTAGAATCAGCACGTCGGAAGAGGAAAAAAGGACTAGAAAAAGGCAGGCTGACCATTATGGTAGTAAAGAATCTGAAGTACCGCACAAAAACAAATTACAGCTACGTACAACGTGCATTAATCTCAAACGTGACGTTAAGGGGAAAGAAGCCAGACAGAAGTTCTTCTCTTCTGGTTCCATTTAAATGAAGTCTAAAACTGCGAGACATTCAAAATCGGGTTAGTCTTTCCTTAAGTGGAGAGGACAATGACAGAAAGGAGCCACAAGGGGACTTTTGAGGTTCAACTAACGTTCTGTTTTCTTTCTTTGGATGCTGGTTACAGATGTGTTCACTTTGTAGAAATTTCATTGAGCTGTAATTTGTGTAGTTTCTTTTGTATGTTATAGTTAACTAAAAGTTATATTTAAGTAGGCCCAGGATGGAATTTTCCACAGATGATAGAAGTGTTACACTGATACATGCAATTGTCAGAATTCACAGAACGGGGACTTTCTGGTGGTCCAGTGATAAAGAATCTGCCTTCCAATGCAGGGGACGCAGGTTTGATCTCTGGTTGGGGAACTAAGATCCCACATGCTGTGAGGCAACTGAGCCCACGGGCCTCAGCTAGATCCCGGTGCTGCAAACTACAGAGGCCACACCACAACTAGAGAGAGAAAGTCCATCCGCATGCCACAGCTAGAGAGAAACCCTCACACCACAACGAAGAGCCTGCGCTGCAATGAAATATCCCACAACTAAGACCAGAAAAAGAAAATAAAAAAGAGGCCAAGAAAATATTTTTTAAAATGTATGCTGTCTGTAAATTAAAAAAAAAAAAAAAAAAAAAAAAAAGAATTCATAGAATGAACTCCTAAGATCTGTGCATTTTGTTTAGTTATACCTCAAGTTTTTTAAAAAGTGTCTAGGGAGTTCCCTGCTGGTCCAGTAGTTAGGACTCCCTGCGCTTTCACTGCCGAGGCCAGGGTTCAATCGCTGGTCAGGGAACTAAGATCCCACAAGCAGCACCGCACAGCCAAAATAATAATAATAAAATAAAATACTCCACTTAAAAAAAGAGTGCCTAACTGGAAGCCTGGAATTATTTAGGTACTTAATTAAATAGGAACAAATATCCTAGTCCACTGCATGAGAACTTGACCTAATGCAGTGATTTTTAAATTTGCTTGATTATGCACCTTGGGCAACTTCTCTGCCAGATATCCTAAAGCCACAGGTTTTAAGTACCACCTGTTACCAGTGACTCCCAAATCTATACCTTCAGTTCCACCATATCGCTGAGCTCCAGACTCTGCCTTTGCTTCGATGTCTGATAAGCACATCAAATTCAGCTTGTCTGAAAAACAAAACAACCAAAAAAACCTGATTTCTCATCCTTGCACACCGATCAGTTCTTCCAGTTATTCTCCAGCTCTGTGAATGGTCACCTCATTTTCTTAATTGCTCAGGCCAAGCATACTTGAGCTCTCAAGTCATACTTGAGCCTTCAATTTCAGGTCCTACATCCCATTCTCTGGCAAGTCTTGCTGGTCTTATCTTCAAAATATAATGAGAATAAAATCACTTCTCTCACCTAATCTGTGACAAAGGAGGCAAGAATATACAATGGAGAAAAGACAGCCTCTTCAATAAGTGGTGCTGGGAAAACTGGAAAGCTACATGTAAAAGAATGAAATTAGAACACTCCCTAACACCATACACAAAAACTCAAAATGGATTAGAGACCTAAATGTAAGGCCAGACACTGTAAAACTCTTAGAGGAAAACATAGGCAGAATCCTCAGAATGGGAGAAAACATTTGCAAACAAAGCAACTGACAAAGGATTAATCTCCAAAATATACAAACAGCTCATGCAGCTCAATATCAAAAAACAAACAACCCAATCAAAAAATGGGTGGAAGACCTAAATAGACATTTCTCCAAAGAAGACATACAGACTGCGAAAAAACACAGATGCTCAACATCACTAATTTTTAGAGAAATGCAAATCAGTACTACAATGAGGTATCACCTCACACCGGTCAGAATGGCCATCATCAAAAAATCTACAAATGGGACTTACCTGGTGGTACAGTGGTTAAGAATCCGCCTGCCAATTCAGGGGACATAGGTTTGAGCCCTAGTCCAAGAAGATCCCACATGCCACGGAGCAACTAAGCCCATGCGCCACAACTACTGAGCCTGCGCCCTAGAGCCCGCGAGCCACAACTACTGAAGCACACATGCCACAACTGCTGAAGCCCATGAGCCTAGAGCCTGTGCTCCGCAACAAGAGAAGCCACTGCAATGAGAAGCCTGTGCACTGCAATGAAGAGTAGCCCCTGCTCACCACAACTAGAGAAAGCCCACGCACAGCAACTAAGACCCAAAACAGCCAAAAATAAATAAACAAAATAAATTGTTTAAAAAAGATGTTTAAAAAAAATCTACAAACAATAAATGCTGGAGAGGGTGTGGAGAAAAGGGAACCCTCTTGTACTGTTGGTAGGAATGTAAACTGATACAACCACTATGGAGAACAATATGGAGGTTCCTTAAAAAACTAAAGATAGCAACTACCATATGACCCAGCAATCCCACTACTGGGCATATACCCTGAGAAAACCATAATTCAAAAAGACACATGCACCCCAATGTTCACTGCAGCACTATTTACAATAGCCAGGACATGGAAGCAACCTAAATGCCCATCAACAGAGGAATGGATAAAGATGTGGTACATATACACAATGGAATATTACTCAGCCATTAAAAGGAATGAAATTGGAGAATTTGTAGAGATGTGGATGGACTTAGAGACTGTCATACAGAGTGAAGTAAGTCAGAAAAACAAGTATCATATACTAATTTACATATGTGGAAAAATGGTATAGATGATCTTATTTGCAAAACAGAAATACAGACACATGTAGAGAACAAACGTATGGATACCAATGGGGAAGGGGGGGTGGGATGAATTGGGAGATGGGGATTGACATATATACATTATTGATACTATGTATAAAGTAGAAAATTAGTGAGAACCTACTGTAGAACACAGGGAACTCTACTAAGTGCTTTGCGGTGACCTAAATGGGAAGGAAATCCAAAAAAAAGGCATATATGTATACGTATAGTTGATTCACTTTGCTGTACAGTAGAAACTAACACACAACACTATAAAGCAACTATACTCCAATTAAAAAATTTTAAAAAGCTAAACTTCTCCCTTTCTACATCATACTATTAAGAAAGGTGGTTGCTACTCTGGTCAAATTCTTTTTTAATTTCTAGTGAGTATAAAAGTGAAATTAAGTTTAAAAACACTGAAAACATTTAAAAGATATCAGACTCAAAATTTTAATTAGCTCATTAAATGATTAAATTTTTTAAATAAATAAATAAATAAAACCACTTCTCACAATCTCCACTGCTACCACCCGGGACCAAGACATCATTATTTTGTCTGGATTTTTAGCCTCTTAGCTGGTTTCTCTGCTTCCACACTGTGCCTTTACGGTTAGTTTTCCACCGGGTAGCCACAGTAATCTTTTCAAATGATTATATCCCTTTGCTTAAAAACCTCCAATAACTTCCTGTTAGGCTTAGAATAAAGTCCAAACTCCTTACATAACCTGGAATGTTTTGCATGAT